TTTACTAATGTTTAGACGCATTTTAATGCAACATTTTAAAGAGATTCCGGAAGGATCTATTAGAACTTAATGCAATGGTAACAATCTCGTTACTTTCTGTTATAGATGGAATACCAAATCGTCACCATACGTGTATATTGACCAATTCACCACTACCAAGCGCATTCATCATCAGCAGAAAATAATCCAAAATATTTTATGTCTACCAGTTTTTATGTATGTGTATGGGGTTTTACTACATAAATCACGAAATGAACAAACCGAGTAAGGATAGCACACTCAATGTTGAATATGGTTGTTTATACGGCCATATTTTAATCATAAATTCAAAATGCAGCAAACATTAGGTTTCTTCATCATTTTTATAAAATAGCAAAAATATAATTGACAATACGTGAAATCAAAGTCTGTTTAAACAATGCCATATTTGGATATATACTGCTTCAAATTCATTGAAGGCTGAATCTGATCTATGGAGTGATAAAATTGCATGCAAAATGTACAGTTGACCTTCCAATATATCCTTACAATCTCAAATACAATTCCTCCCAAAGGATCCACAATATGTTATAAATTGAAGGAATTATTATTATGGATAAGTATGTGCCAAAAATGGGGGAAAATGTGTTAAATCTCCCAAATAATAAAAATGGTAACATATCTTATCGAATACAAACATTTGGAAGGTAGTGTACATCCCCTTATAATCTAATTTAGTTGTTTTTCAACAGAAATGAAAATAACAAGCGATAATGCATCCCTAGGGGCATCTTACATTACCTCGTTTTCTAAACAGTAATTTTGTTTTTAGTTTAATAGATTAATTAGAAGACCGATATAGAATCTTAAGTTGTTTTTATTTTTTATCCAGTCCATTATTAGATTAGCAGTCCAGGCAACGCTGATCATATTACGGTATTTAAGGAAAATATTGTCTTTAGACGATAAGTAAATGCGAACTTTAAATGCAATTGACAGGTAATGCGTTTAGATAGAAAATGACCATTCTACCGAGTATAGGAAATGTCCACATATTTCACTTTGAATAACAAAAATAACCTTGATATATACGATAGTTATATGAACAGTATTCACCAAGAGGAGGGAAACCCCCATGATTCAATTGATGACATACGATTTCCTCCTTCGCGCACCTCCTTTCCCGGAAGTACTTATCCTCCATCTTGATTTTCAAAGTTAACAAATTGACCTAGTTTTAAACCACTCAACGATCAACTCGCTAAACCAATCAGCGACGATGTCATCTCAATGCAGATTTACATTATTAGTGTATGTCATCTTTGAACCCTGGTGGGGTTTCTTGTTTTCTCGTCAAAACACATATCTATATTGTATCCGTTTCGGGGTTAACCGTTTCCGAATCTCTCAAATTTAATCATGGATATGTCTTGCATCCATGAGTCAATATGATATTTTTGGTAAAAAGTACAACTATTGAATTTTGTCCACCAAGTCATTTAGTTCCTTTAAAATGATATCCCTCACCCCCAACAAAACGAGCATTTTGTCCAAGCGTTATACTGTTAACGTTATATTTACAAAAATGAAGGGTTTGCAACAAATCTGGCTTGTCTATTGATGATGCAAATCAATTTTAGATGCTTGAATGTGTGGTTCTATAGAGACTCATTGAATACTGTTTATGATTTATATTTTTGTGGCTTACATTGGCTTTTCAGACTCAAATGAAGATACTATAAATGTACGGATTAATAGATGGCACGCTTGCCTAAAGCATTTGAACTGCCATCTTTGAATCATACATTTGTTGATTAATGTTAAACAGACGTCATCCACGTGCATAACTCACTGGCCCCCTCCCCATTACAATGCTATGTAATTTCTGAGACCCTCATAGTCCATATGCAGGATAGCTGTGTGAGTACTACTGTCACTCAGACATGAATTCAACGAGACATTTCAGGATAATCTTATGTTTAACGTCCGACGAAAAGTCAAATCATTAGAAGGGTGGGAGGCGAAAACGTTATTGTTTTTCCACAAGGATCTTATATTATTCATGAGTAAAAATACAAGTAAACATATCGTCGCTCCACTATTAAAAGCTTCCATGTCTACCTGTACCATATTTGAGAAAAGGAAAAAAACATTTAGGTTACACTATCTATGTGCTACTAAGAGCATGGTCACGCCCGGTGATCGGAAGAAATGAACGGAGGAGGGAGTGAGAGGAGCTGATTTTCGCTAGAAGATTCAACAAATCTTAAAGGTTTACATTTACTTTTTCGAGAGAAAGTTTATAATTGAATTGCTTAATGAATAGACGCACGCCACGGGGAAATATGTTAGGTTTTCTTTGAACCGATATGCTTCTAAGATATAAGATACTAAAAAAGGCGCAACGTCACAAACGTGCAAATGTCAATGTTTTTTTTCTATAAATCAAGCAACAATGGTCTACACGTCCTATAATAAACATAAGTGACGTTTTAAAATTAATGCCATTGTTAGTTTTTTAAAATAAGTTTCCGTTCGTTAAATATAAAATTCAACGGAGGGGGCGGGGGGGGGGGTAATATGACTAAGGAGGAAGAAATTTCCGCGAATTCATGTGTTTAAAAATGAACTTAGTAACAACTGGATGCTACAACTCTGAAGAGTGAAATATAGGGACATTTGAAATAAAGTCAAGTTGCATCTCTTACATTACTACTTCCCCCTCCGTTCACTCCCCCACTCAGTTCAAAATTTCGATTATTTTTTATATAATTTTTTTTATAAAACCAACAATGACAATAACTTTGTGATAATAAGGTCACTTACAAGTATTTATCACTGGTCGTGTGGACCCTTATTGCTGGATTTATAGCAGAAACATTGGCAAATTGCACGTTGGCAACGTTACATCTTATCTTAGAAGCAAATCAATTCCAAAAAAAATCCTAGAAGACCTGACATATTTCCCCGTATCGTGCACCTATTCAGTTAGCAAATTATATTAATTATAAATCAATTGATTGAAAACTTTCTCTTGGGGAAATAAATCTTCCAGATTTGTTGAATTTTCGTTGCTGCTCTCCCCTCCCCCCCCCCGTTCATTTCTCCGATCACCGGGTGTGATGGTGAATTTAGGGGAAATCTGCTCGTACATGAAATTGGTAGTTAGAACCTTATAGTTCAGTTCAGTTCAAATTTGGCAAAACATAAGGAGGGGGAGAGGGGTCAGATTAAACATATCTCGAACTTTGAGTGGACAAATCGAAGAATGCCACCAATGTGCCAAGTACATCTCCGCCATCTCCTTCACCACTGTACACTGAGATCCTGTAGGGAAACGATAATAAGCAATAATTCAAAATATACTAATTAGTTTTCAAAAACATTTTATTTTACATCTCAAATCAAATTACTCATAGCTAAGTCAAGCAAACCAGTTTTTAACTTAACGTTTGTTTTTATCTTATACTTTATACCCATGAAAATTAATGATTATGATGCTGCAAAGCAAAAGTTTTATAATAACTTCATTGTGAACTTGTAAGCAAAAGCAAAAAATCTTGTCCACCTTAAAAAAAAATTAATAAAAATATAAAGCAATGTGATCTTTGACTAACAGCTGCTATTCAGGCACACATAAAAAATTGAGCCAGGATAATGATATAAATCTCAAAAAATAAAGAATACAACACCGGTAATTCCCTTAATCGGGTATTCATTCAATGGCACATATTTTTAGCTGGAATTGAAACACTGTTTTACAATCTTAAACAGTTAAACATCAGCAAAACAAAATTAGTTTTGTTATTTCAAAGAATTGCATGATCACCCACATAAGCTGCATTCATGAACATGATAAAGCACCTACCCACATAAGCTGCATTCATGAACATGATTTAAGCACCAAGTGATTCTTCATTCAATTATTTGACATTTAATGGTAATTACACTACCAAGCTGACTTAGATTGAAAGAATGACATAGCATGAGAATGTTCCCTGATTCACGACATAGTTTAGCATTCAATTATATTAACTACAATTTCATTTTATTTTAATTATACTGTAGTATCAATTCATCATCTTCATTCATCCTTTTACATTCAAACGTGATACAAGGGTCAACAATGGAATGTAAAAGGAGAAAACACTACTTACACTGCAATCATATACAGGTAAATATTGGAGAAAATAAAACATATTTACATACTATAAATTGAATCACTCACTCATTACATGTATGTCTATGAAAATAGAATTTACAAAAGCATCTTTCATACCTATAGCCCCTCCTCTTATCCATTGAGAAAATAAGCAGTAATGGGTGAAGCATTTTCCGGTATGTTGCATTACAGTATATGAGCACTTCATGTACTAGTATGTACTTTCACATAACTTTAACATCACAAAAGGAAACAATTACGTCTTTGAAAAATATCCTGCAAAATCTGAATATTTTCCAAGTTAGATTGGACTCAATTCTACATTTCTTTCAAACAAAACTCAAAGAACTTCTCCTATGCCTATAACATCCAATATGCCAAGTAAAAATATACTTTTGAATCTTAGTAAAATTGGCATACATTTGGCATATACTAGTACACTTAGAGGATTACAATAGTTCATTCAATTCTTCACAAATGTTGTTTGTTCCTTTCCCATTACTGATTATTTTGTCAATGTACATGTATATTGAATCATCATTAGACTGCCCCACAGCACTTGAGCTTCCAACTATCCATTTAATAATTGTATCTACAATGTGCGTGTGAACAACCTTTGAATGGAGCTTGAAAAATTAGTATAGTTCTATTGTTTATTTACTCCTTATAATATGCTGTTGAGAATACTGCCATGATGCATGTGTTCATATCACAATTTGTCTCTTGATGCTGCAAATGGCTATTTATTAATTTATTTGGTACCCACTCACCGTTTCATATTCTTGTATATAATGTACCAATATTGTTATATGGCTGGCTTGCCTGACATATTTGGCTTATATTATTAATTGTACTAAGTTTACCAGGCTTCTATATTGTAGCGTCCCTCAATTTGCATATCAGTGATATACTTATCAGCTTGTTCCATAGTCATGCCACCTTGTGAAACAAATGCTTCACAAACGCCTTTCCTGACCGCGGTAGGGACGTTACCAGCAGGGCCGCAAAGGTAGAAGTATCCCTTCTGCTTTACAAGGTAGTCATAGACAACCTCTGGGTGTTCCTTGATTCGATCCTGTACATAGATCTTGTGAGCCTGGTCTCTGGAAAATGCATTGGACAAAACAGTAAGGACTCCCTTGCCATTGCTGTGGTATTCCTCTAGCTCATCACCGTATGTGTAGTCGGTACGCTTGTAGCGGGCACCGAAGAAAAGAGCCATTTGGCCACACTCCTCTCCTCTGACCCTAGCCATTTCACGCTCCTCAACCATTGCTCTGAGAGGGGCAAGGCCTGTTCCAAGACCAACCATGATGTAAGGAGGTTTCTGAGTGTCGGGTAGTGTGATGCCTGAAATAGAAATGAATAAGTATGTACAACATCTGGCTATAATTTGCATTTTAAATGTACCATAAGTCCTAAGTAATATACACTGTTAGCCTTGCCCAAGTCGGTATTTTTTTACTCATCTGATCTTGAATTATTACCGAAATCAAGATAGTAAAAGAGACCGACTTGGGCAAGGCTAATACACTGTATGTGTAGTAAATAAAACTATAAATATTTAAGGTGTTCTCATTTCTTCAAGATCCAGTCTCACAACTCACACACAATCCGAATGTTCGGGTCACTATGGTGTTTGGACAGGTTTTACTGTATGTAAGCTAATACTTCTGCACTGAATAGCCTGTATCTTCATCTAATGATAAATGAAGACTTTTTAAAATGTATACAACTATTTTAAAAAATATGTAAACATTCTTTATCTAAATTGGCTAATCTATTACAAATACATAGAATGGAAACAATATAAATTATTATTTAAAATGGAAATCATATAATTTTGGGGCAGAAATGAGAAAATTAAAAATTATATCCCAACATACCTGCAGCATTGATGCGTCCAGCCACACTATCTAACTTTCCATCTAGACTTAGGTGTTGTAGGTATCTGGTACATGCCCCCTCTTGGTACTTGCCACTGGGAGTTGTCCAGTCTTCCTTCACGATACACAGGTGTAGTCTATCGCCATGCATCTCTTGTGATGATGCAATAGAATAAAGCCTTGGCTTGATTCTGGGGATATAGTCTATGATGTACTCTAGGGGAACATTGGCTGATGGGAACATCTTCAACAGGTCTGCATATGTTGTAGTTTCCTTCACTAGCTCCCGGAAATCATCCTTTCCTTCTTTGCTTAAGAGGAACTCAATTCTCTTCTTCTCACTCTCATCTTTGCACAAGATTCCAAGTGCTTCATAGAATCGCCTGCTGGGTCGTCCAAATATGTCAATGATCTCTGTGAATAGCTGCTTGGCAGAGACAATACTTGGGTAGGGTTCTTTACGGTTGGTAGTGTCTTCGAGCTGGACAACAGCATTTGGGCTCATGCCATAATCTTGCAGGAACTGGTCCACCTGTTTAGGATCATTGTGGGGGTAGATACCAAGGCACTCTCCAACACCATAAGGCATGTTTAATCCTTTCAGGTCAAACTCATAATGACGAATATCTCGGTCATAATCTGGGGGACTCAGAAGCATATTGATGGGCATAGGGCACTGTTTGGTGCCAGGTGGGGCACAGATAGGACCCTCAGCCACAGGGATGGTGCCAGCCTGGTCAATGTATACTGAATAGGAAGCTGGGAGCAGCTCTTGGGGAGGAGCAGGAGTTCCTAGCTCACTCCATAACTCAGGGCACCACTCATTCCATGCAGTTTCATATTTCTCTTCATCTTTATCATCACCCAGTCCAATGTTTAGGATCCTGGTGGCTCCTAGCTCCTCAAATCTCTTGTCAAATTGTTTGGCTGATTCATTGTAGTAGACATATCCAGTGTCACCTAGACCAAACACTGCAAACTTAGTGTTGGCAAGAGTATCAGGGGCGAGATCTTTGTTACTCATCTGCTCCCAGAAAGTCTTGCTGTTGGCTGGAAACTCTCCCTGTCCACAGGTAGCCACGACACAGTAAACACTTGACTGGTTTGGCAGATCATCAAAGTCATAGTCATCAAAGGCCATGCATGAAGCCCTGATACCTCTACGTTTCAGCTCATGAGCAAAGACATTAGAAAGAGCTTCAGCATTGCCAGTCTCAGAAGCATAGAGGACCAAGCTCTTGTCCCCAGATATCTCCTCTCCTAAAGTTCCCTTGAGGTAGTCGAGCATCTCATATTCATCCATAGCCATCTTCTTGAACTTCTCGTGCTTGTGTTTGGCCAGATTGCTTAGCTCTGCATGTAAATCTATAGCCTGGTTTTTGTTCATCCTCACCAGTTGCTGGAACCTGTTTTCTGTGTTCAAGAATGCCTGGAGCTCTGTCTTGATGCGCCTTGAGTCCAGAGTAAATGGATTACTGCCTTGTTCTGCTCTACGTGGGTCAAATCTATAGAGGGACCAGTATCCACTATCAACAGCATCCTTCATTTCATCCATCATGTATTTCATCTCAATGCCCCAATCAATACAAGGAGCATAGCAGATAACTAGACTGGTACCATTGTATGACTCTGCCTCCTTCATTGCCTGCACACACTGGTTCATGTTGGCTCCAAGAGCGACTGATGCAACATAGACATTCTCATACATCATGGCCATCATTCCAAGATCTTTCTTGCTCTGACGCTTTCCAGATGATGCAAACTTGGTTACAGTTGACAGCTGAGTAGCTTTAGAGACCTGTCCTCCTGTGTTCGAGTACATTTCAGTGTCAAGCACAAGGATATTGACATTCTCTGCCTTGGAGAGAACATGGTCTAAACCCCCATAACCAATATCATAGGCCCATCCATCTCCTCCAACGATCCAGTGAGACTGTGTGCGGAGCATGTCCCTCTGTTCATATATACGTCTCAGTGCAGGGTTAATTGTGTCCAAGTCCATGTTTCCAATAATATCTTCAATCTCAGATGAAAATTTCTCACATGGCTCAGCATTATCAATATTTTTCAGCCAGTTACCAAATGCTTTTTTCAGATTGTCTGGTAGTTCCTCTGTTTCGGTCAATGTCGTGATTTCCTTCTTCAACTTTGTTCTTCTCTGCTTGGTGGCCACAACCATTCCAAAGCCATACTCTGCTGTATCCTCAAACAGAGACCTGCCCCAAGCTGGACCTTTGCCTTCTGAGTTCTTAGAGAATGGGATGGTAGTTGAAGTACCTCCCCATACACTGGAGCATCCAGATGAATTAGCAATCACCATACGATCACCAAACAACTGAGTAATCAATTTCACATATGGGGTCTCACCACAGCCTGCACATGCACCGGAGAATTCCATAAGGGGAGTCTGGAACTGGGATCCCTTCACTGTGAACTTGTCTCCAACATCTGATCTCTCTGGGAGACCAATGGAGTAGTCCCAGTGTGGCTTGAACTGATCAGAGACCTCCTTGAATGGAGCCATGTAGAGGGCATCATCTGGACAGGACTGCACACAAACTTCACATCCAGTACAATCAAATGGCGATATCTGAATTGTGTAATTGAATCCAGCCACCTCAGCACCACCTTTGGATTTTCTAGATTCATAACCTTTCGGCGCTCCTTTGACTTCACTCTTGTCCAGTAAGAAGGGTCTCACAACTGCATGGGGGCATACAATGGTACAGTAGTTGCACTGGGTGCAGTTGTCTGGGATCCAGACAGGGATTGCTGGGGCGATACCTCTCTTCTCAAATAAAGTTGTTCCGGTAGGTTGATAGCCACCTGGTTCAAAAGCACTCACTGGGAGTTTGTCACCCTCTAGTGCCAGCACTGGGTCCATGATGTTCTTGATAAATTCAGGCGCATCGCGAGACACATGAGTAGTTGGGACAACATCACCAATCTGAGCCCAACTAGAAGAGTATTCCATCTTCTTCAGATTGTCAATTGTGGCATCAACAGCCCTCTGGTTCATGTCAACCATCTTGGGTCCCTTCTTCCCATACTGTTTAATGATGCTCTCCTTCAACAAGCTGATTGCCTGGTCAACAGGGAGTACACCAGATAGGAAGTAGAATGCAGCCTGCATTACCATGTTGACACGTTTCCCTAGGCCTAGTTCAAGGGCAATAGTAGTGGCATCAATGTTGTAGAACTGGGCTTTCTTCTGTGCAATTTCCTTCTTCAGGGCATCAGGTAGCTTTTTCTCCATCTCCTCCAAGGTGGTGAATGGGGTATTCAGCACAAATATGCCTCCTTCCTTCAGTGGGGAGATAAGATCAAACTTGTTCACATAGGATGCATGGGCACATGAGATATAGTCAGCATTTGCGGATATTTCATATTCTGATTTGATATCTGAGGGGCCAAACCTGACATGGGAAACTGTCACACCATCTCCTTTATGGGAATCAAACACAAAGTGTCCTTGACCCTTCAAGTCAGTATTCAGCCCAATAGTCCTGATGGCAGTCTTACTGGCTCCAACTGTACCATCTGTTCCCAAGCCCCAGAAGAGGCACTGAGTGGTTCCTTCAGGGACAGTGTTGATCTTCTCCCCATAGGACAGTGAGGTGTGAGTGACATCATCCTCTATGCCAATAACATAGCGAGATTTTGGTTTGTCTGAAGAGAGGTTGTCGAAGACAGCTTTACACATCTCAGGTGTGAACTCTTTTGACGCCAACCCATATTGGCCTCCAGTGACATTCTTACGAAGACCTGCATCAGATAGGGTGACACTTATATCTAGGAATAGTGGCATTCCAATTGCACCATCTTCCCTGGTTCGATCCAATACAGCAACATGCTCCACTGACTTAGGCAGGGCCCTCAGGAAGTGCTCAGCTGACCATGGTCTAAATAACCTAGGAGTTATCACACCAACATTTTCACCCTTTGAATTCAAATAGTCCACTGTTTCCTCCATTGTTTTGGCACCAGAGCCCATTAACACTGCTACCCTGGTGGCATCAGGAGAGCCATGGTAGTCAAACAGGTTGTATTTGCGGCCAGTAAGCATCTCAATATCTCGGAATGTTTCTTCAACATGGTTGGGGCAGGCTTGATAGAATTTGTTGGCTGCAACTGTGCTTTGGAAGAATATATCTGGTCTTTGTCCAGTACCTCTGACCATAGGCTTGTTAGGATTAAGGGCAAAGTTCCTCAGATGTTTGTCAACCATTTCATGTGGGAATATCTTGTTGAGTTCTTCATATGGGATAGATTTAATCTTTGAGACTTCAGCCGATGTGCGGTAACCATCAAAGAAGTGCATAAATGGTAGCCTAGATTTCATACTTGATATATGGGCCACTGCTCCAAAGTCCATAATCTCTTGCACTGAGCTAGAGCATAACATTGCAAACCCTGTTTGTCTGCAAGCCATAACATCAGAGTGGTCATTGAATATGGAGAGGGCATGTTTGGACACTGTCCTGGCTGAAACGTGTAATACTGTTGGAACAAGTTCACCAGCCAGTAGATACATGTTTGGGATCATAAGCAGGAGACCTTGGGATGCAGTGAATGTACTGCTGAGAGTTCCTGCTGCAGCAGCACCGTGTAGAGCCCCGGCAGCTCCACCCTCAGATTGCATCATGTTAACATGTACTGGCTGGTCCAGGAGATTGCGCCTGCCTTCAGTCATCCATTTATCCATGTAGTCTCCCATAGATGTTGCTGGGGAGATAGGGTAGATGAAGGAAATCTCACTCATAGCATATGCCATGGTAGCTGCAGCCTCATTACCTACAGACAAAAAACATAAATGACTAAGCTGACTTTCAAAAGATGGCAGTGCAATATGGATTACTTGTATATCAACGAGTGTGTATTTCCTATATTTCAAAAATAAAATTCTGTATTTTCAAAGAACTGGTAGATCATATCAATTAATATAAAACTCCAATCCTTTTGAAGTCATAAAAGTCAAATAACATCAATTAATTTGGCTGCCATATTTGGCAAATTGAAAGACAAATAATTTTTCAAGGTCTAACTTTAAGACAAAATTCGAAACTGAAATGGCCAGAATACTTGTAAACTGTTTTGAAAACTGCCTTTCACTATAAGCACTTACATGTATACTGAAATAGGCACATTTGTAAAAATTATGAACAATACCTAGCCAAATGTATTTGAGTTAAAATTATTGCAATGTATAGCTCTATTTAATACTTTTTGAAGGAATATTTACAAGGGCTCCAACAATTCAAAATTTTCATTTTTGATATTAGCAACATTACTTCTTAATACAGAACACAAATGAAACAAGCAAAGATAACTAGTACATTTAATGATACTATTCACTTGTATTGCATAGTTAGTGTAATGCTCATTAGATATCTGGCGCCTTTTTCAATGATTGCTCAGAATTATCAGAGTACAACAAAACTGAAGATGATGTAGCCGTTACAAGAATGAGTTATTCAGGTATTGGTATTCTGAAGAATAATTTAATGTTTTCATTGAGCAATATGCTTGGCATCTTTGAAAAACAAATTGCGGAAATCATGACAGACAATGTCCAATGTAACATTCCCACCAAAATTACACGCACATTTCCCTTCTGCTAAAACTATGAATAGCTTACAGATCTTTTTCAAATGAAGATTTGCTACCTTTAAAATTTCATGCTAGGGCAAAAATGTTATTTGCCATTTATCCCTCCCAAAACTTAATTATGTTTGTGGACATAAAATGTACGTTTTCCATGTAACTGTATTGTAATTATAAATTGAAAGTTCTCTGAAATAAAAAAATTAAATAAAAAATTATGAGAATAACAGGTGTGCATAAAATGACTAAACTCCCATTATACATCACTTCTTAAACCCAATCCAAATTGACATGGTGGCTATCAGATAAGAGTGATGTTAAAAAAGTGCACATTGTAATTTCTCACTGATCTGCAAGTTAAATATAAACTAGATATATGAAATCAACTTTACATCATACATGACAAAAAGGAAACTTGGATTTAGAGACAGGAACAGGCAAAAAAATTCAAACAATTCCTATGCTTCGTTTTAGATCCACTTAGCAACATGTACCCCTCAAGCTAAGTTAATTCTACAAATAAGTATATGGTGGTCATACAATATTTGAAATGGTGGAACAGATTTTTTACACGTAGGTCATATGAGTTTTATTAAGTTTTATATTATCAAGGGTGTTCAAAGTCTATTAGAATGACTGCCAGAAATGATTGTGATACCATGCTTTACTCTCAAGGATATGATAAACTCATTATAAATAGATTGCAATCTCAAATTATTGAAATAATTTTGACCAATGTGGCATTAAAGAAGTATGACATTCGAACATTGATCAGAATTTTTTTCTCATCAAGATATGTTTAGAACTGATAAGTTATCTATATTTATGTATCAAGATAGACGTTAAAAAGTATTACTAAATATGATGTCTTTTCTCAGAAGTCATCAGATGATGTGTATTTACTGCAACATTGAACCTGGCCTTTCAATTTTAACATAGGCTTTCAAGAGAATACATTTTCTTGAATTATTAGTATGGGATATTAGAATTCTGCAAATTTATGTAGCAGGGGTTTCACTAGAATTTCCCACAACAGGCTATATAAATGAAAACAACAGGTAAAATTAATGGAAATCATAAATTTAACATGGAAGAAGTTGACAAGTTGAAAACAACCAGTGAAAATATCCTGTTGCCTGCTGTTAATGAAACCCCTGTAGCAATCTGTGAATTCTGATATCATTTGTGTTTTACATCTTAACCTTTAGAGGACTGCAAGTGTAGTCCAAATAAACTTTGACTTTCTTCCCTTGTTTTTATGTTATACCCCTACCCCCATTTTTGAAAATGAATAGATGGCGCTACTCTGGCACATCGCGAATTTGAGTGTACTTATTTGCAATCATAAAATACTGGGTGGATTTTATTAATTTTGATTAGAGATATGTGAAATAGAATACAAACTTAACACAAAATGGCAGGGGCCTGACTAAAAATCAAACATGGATGTTCTTTTACTATATTTTGATCTGTCATGTGGGTGGAATCACATATGTGTTTCTATCAGTTCTTGTGATATAATCCAAGTCAACCTGACCCATTGGCTCAGAGACACTTTTTAAACAACTTTCATTTCATTTGTGCAATATTACAAAATCAATATCTTATAGCCAAATAGAATAAAAAACAAATAGAATCATTGAATCTCCTGATCATATTTCAGGCTAGGTAAACTCATCATTGATTGTGAATTACTAGATGAATTAGAATCACGAATATGAAAATACTTTCAGCACATGAAAGTGCACTAGTTGAATGGTGCTCAATGACTTCCAGGGGTCATCTAAGGACATCATATATTCATGAGCAGTTGTTTTAACAAGGATCATATATTAAACTATCAGGTCAGCTTAACCAGCTAACCACATAGAAACTAAGCTAAACAACTGTATACATATAACATTACAGACATAGTACAGTAGCAATAATACTGTAGCCTGTGGGTTCTAAATAAATCCAGCTGTATGAGGTCAAACATTTCTACAAATTATGTTTAGTTTTGGTAGAATTAGCTTGAAAGTCTTTAAATGTCTTTGATATTCACATCTACATTATATAAAAGTTCCATTAAATGAGATAAATATTTTCATGATCATGATACTAACCTTCAACTAAAACCCAGGGATGTTCTTTCGGTTTCTCAGCCAGCTTAGCCTGGGCCTGTGCTTTAGTTGAGGATGTTGTTTGTGCCATCCTCTTCTTGGTTGTCTCTGCCAGACATGTTCTAGTAGACTGCACTGCACGGCGAGCGACTCGTTGTGTTGCCTGCACCGATGTTAGGTACTTGGCAGCCCTCCGGGTCCCCGTATTTACCATACGAAACATGGTGGGATATGGGTGCTATTTTTCGAAAACTGAAAATGCAAATTATTTGAAACAGATGTCAGTATATAAGTATTCATAGAAATCACAGATCACATCAATGAATCTATGCAAATTGCATTTACCATTAATTTATTATCATTTGATTTCGACCCCTTCCATAATTTTGAAGGACCTTATTACATGATGTGTAGGTAGATCAACTTGAAAATTAATGAAAGAACTAGCTAACCAGCAAACAAACAATCAACCTACAAACAAGCAAACTGAACGAATATTAAATAATAGTCTCCTTTTACCCCTTCCACTTCCATACAGGTACATGTACATTCATGTTTGGAAGGATTCTCTTCTTTTAACATGAATGCATTTGAATTAAAATTAACAAATTAAACTTCAACAATCCTATTGTGTAATTTAGTACAGTATGTCAGTAGTTTTATGTAAGAATCTTTTTAATTGTGAGATCACAGTCCATGCCATTACAGTACATGAGTAGGGCCTAGCACTAATTGCAGTACTGTCAACCCCCAAAGATTTTCTCGCGGGACAGATTTTTTAGACCCAGTGCCCAAAATTCGCGGGATTTTGCGGGACATCTACTAAATTCGCGGGATTTCGCGGGACATTTAAGGGATTTGCGTGATTGCGCTTATAGGCCAATTTTTTTTTATCAAATTCGCGGGATTTCGCGGGACCATTCGAGGGACAAACACCCTAATTGCGGGACAGTTAACAGGTTTACCAGCAAAAACTTCATAGAGGGACAGATTTTCTAGAAAAAGTGCCCTAAATTTGCGGGATTTCGCGGGACATCCACCTAAATTTGCAGGATGTCCCGGGACATTCAAGGGATTTGCGTGATTTGGACTAATGTAAAAGCGTGTAAAAGTACTTAAATCAAACTTTCAGATACTGATTAATCAAATATAATGCACCGTTACATTGTAACTTAAATAAACGTCAACATAACTTCACAAAATACGCATAGAAATATTATTTCAATTGAAAGCCCATGGTATAGGGTTTCGATTAATCTACATCAAATTATAGGGAATGAGGTTACTTTTCTAGATAGGGTTTGTAGAAAAAACCGGGTACCGGGTAGTAAATCCTCAATGCTGGGTTCAAACTTGGTGTTACGCGGTATATGGCATACATTCATGGTTGCGCGGTATTTGTGATACGGGTGAATATGCCATACTCACCTGCGGTATATGGCATATTCCGCAGGTGAGTATGCGATATTCCGCAGTGAATATGCGACACATTGATTTCAGTGAATACCCGATACTCACCTGTGGAATATGTCATACTCACTTGCGGAATATGCCATACACCGCAGGTGAATATGACATATACCGCAGGTGAAAACGTGATACAGAAAGCTTTGATTTGATTGGTTGCGAGAGTCGACTCTAAATGTAAAACTACGCTGGATTACCAATATAGTTAGTGTGTCGAGTACTAATATATGAATCCTGGATTGATTGAGTAAGTCTATTACGTGAGATTGGTGACTGATACTTCTGCTAAGTTAATATATTCGATACACAGTCCTGTTGATTCAGTAATCATCATCATAATTAATAAAATTTTACTTATTCGTTCAATCGATGCAATTGACAATTGCGTACTTCCGTATCACGTTCTCATTGGTTAGTGTGTATGCCATATACCGCAGGTGAATCTGGCATACACCGCAAGTGAATATGCCATATTCGTTGCGGAATATGACATATTTTTGTATCGTGTTTACCGCGTAACACTTGGTACCCGGTCGAAAAAACCGGGTGCCCAAAAAACGAAATATAACATAATTAGATCATTAGAAAACGTGTAAGATTTGTTTTGAATTTACAAAAATGTATGTAACTTCCTTCAAAATTGAGATAGAAGCTTCAAATAAAAAGCATTTTAAGCCTCTTTTCTTCCTCTATCATCATGGTCCTATTTCCATTGGTAATGAAGGGGGAGGGAGGGGTGCGATCGCATCATCACACCCTCACCTGGCTACGCCAATGACATTGTAAGACGATTTGAATAACAAGGCAAATCAATTTTACTCTATTTTCAATAGTTCGTATGTTGGTACGTGAATTGTTTTGATTATGATTTAAATCTGTAAATTGCTATCGTTGCTTTAGCAGAGAGGTGACGTGTGTTAATTTACATGATGCAATGTGTAAGATTTTGATTATTAATCATAATTTAAGTTATCCCAACTGTCGACAAAATGTCCACTGAATTGTCCACTAAATTGTTATGTCTTACAATGTCATAGGCGTAGCCAGGAGAGGGTGCGGTGGTGCGATCGCACCCCCTCCCCATAACCGATGAAAATATGGTCATGACGATAGAGGGAGAAAAGAGCCTTAAAATATGCTTTTTATTTGAAGCTTCTAGCTCAATTTTGAAGGATGTTACACACATTTCTGTAAATTCAAAACAAATCTTACACGTTTTCTGATAATCTAATTATGTTATACTCGTATATTCGTTTTGTTTTTGGGTAAGCTTACCCGTTTTTTGACCGGGTACCGGGTACCAAGTTTGAACCCAGCATGGAGGATTTACTACAACAGCATGCTAGGTACTTAAAATTAGGTAAACTTTACTCCTCAAAAGTGCAAAAACTTGCTTCTTATATTAGATAATCACAATATAGGGGATTGCAACAATTTCGGAAATTCGCGGAGGTCGAAAGCCACATTTGCGGGACTTCGCGGGACATTGCGGGACACGCGAATTAGCCTAATTTTGATCGAATTCGCGGGATAATCCCGCCATTCGCGGGACACTTGACAGCTCTGTAATTGACTCCAGTAGAGCCTTATACTTACAAAATTATTGAAATATCTTCAGTATCATTGGTATGTTGGTTTACTTTGACCCATTTAATTTGTTGTCAGCTACCTCCAAAGCAATCTGACTGTAATCAAGACGTGCTTTCACCAGTCACGCTTCTGAAAAAGAGCAAAACAATCAGGTCGTGGTTGACTGCTTTCCTTTCACAAATAAATTTTTAACAAAATCACTCACATTTACTTTCCCAGTTATAGCAAAAAACTTAATATCTATTTCAAGTATTGACATACATTGCATAAATTTTAACAAAATTGCTTTATTTCTTTACTAACGTAAAATACCATGTAGATCATCTATCACATGTAAAAATGGATGTTTGAAACGTGCATCCATTTTAAAAATTGGCTTTTAAACAGAACTGACTGACCAGATTGTGCACATGCACATAAGTATAAAACATTCACTAATTGGGCCAATGATATTTGTGTCATTGCCAGACTGACAGACGGATGTTTGGACTGACTCACTCTCTCTCTCTTGAAAGCCCATAATATTATAAAACTTCAATTCTAGATTATCAAACAGTCATACTTGAAAATTGAGAAAACAGTGGAGGGGGGGGGGGGGGCAGTAAAAAGTAGTTCACTACATGTAGCAAACTTCCACCATGTCAGTTTCTGGCAATTGGAACCATTAAATGAATAACTCAATGAGCTGTGACTGTGAGTGAATCACACAGACAGTCAGTGACAAATCACAAGGCTACAGTCGGTGACCACCGGAAGATGCGGAATTGAGAAAAGATTTTATTTGGCATCACTCACATTCACAAATCATGATAAATTTACTCAAATAATAATGTAAATGATAGTTTCTATCAAAATGGTACATACAATCATTTCATAACTGAGTGTTATGAAGCGGTACTTAGGCTAAACTTACATGCCATCGCTAATTTTCAAGTCAGCAAAAAGTTTTTCAGCTCCTCGCGGTTGGGCGGTGTAGAAGTGGCGACGATGATTATGACTTGCCAACCAAGTAGATTTTTAATCAGATTCCATATACAATTTTGCAATAACATGATAGAGAATAAAAGGTGGATTGGATCGAGTGCATTGGATTCATGTAAAAGGTGGATTGGATCGCGAATCTTCAAAATATGGTCCGCCCGTTATGATTCATGAAATGTCTAAAATTACCCTCGGTCGGATTGTGTTTCAGAAAGCGGGAACAAGGTCACTCTTCTAGCTCACCCAAGCAAAATAATAAATTACATCTATTATTTGACATTGTGGAAGTGAGGAACGCGCGATTTCTTCTTGGAGGGAGGTCAATAGATTTTTTAAAGGAAAGTCAATATTTTGAAGATTCTGATCCAATCCACCTTATACATGAATCCACATTGCACAAAATTTGTCCAATATTTCATTGCGCATGCGCAGAACCATTACTTCCGGTTTTCCAAAGCCTATGGGATTTATAATGGAGACATTTTTTGAACGCTTACTGTGCGAATGATATTGATTTGCCACCTTAGTCATCTCAGGTTTCTATAACTAGACATCAACCTTTACTGATTTAACATGTTTTAAGCAATGTACACATGCACACTTTTCGGCCAATTTGTTTTGAAAAAATCATGAGGAATTCATGCATGACTCCATTGAAATCCATTAGAAATGGCGTCAAAATGGTGAAATGAGGATATTCAACGGTCTGGTAGAGGTACCTAAAATCATATGGTATCTTAGTCATCTCAGGTTTCTGTAACTTTGAAGGTAGATCTGTTTGATTCCGTTGAGATTAGAATCCTCATACCTTTAACTTTTCGGCCAATTTCAAACAAAATATGATAACTTTTGGTGATATAACTGGTTCATTACATTGGAATGACGTCAAAATAAAATAAGACAATCTCAGTTTCTATGGCACTGACGTCATGACGTCAGATTTATCTTAAGATCTCAAATATGACGTCATGTTTAATCAATGAATGACATCTATCGGCTATTCGACCAATTCTGTGCAATGAATCCACTTCCACTATATATATCCAATCCACC